ATGGTAGCATTAGACTTTTAAATTTTTTACGTAAAAGTTTATTCAGTGGTAAAAATAGTTTTTCTGAATCTCGCAAAAGGTGAATTCACATGGCTGACCACACTATACCACACTATGACAATATTTTGATTAAATCAGAAGAGCCTGTGAATGCGCTTCATAAAGATAAAGACCAAGATTTGGTCGCCTGCTTTAGTCGCAGATTCATTTTGCTGTATAGATGTAATCTGATCTCGTCTCCACAACTTGGCTGTGTTGTCAGGGTGACCTAGTTTGAGACAACTTGCCTAAACTTCTCTGCTATAGTAGTTATGATAATTCCCAGTGCTAGCAAATACAGCTCTCAGACGTTTCGCCGGCATCGTCAGCGAGCCTTGGCATTCTTAGCATCAAGCAACAATTCTCATAGACAAGTGAAATCAATCTCTTTAAAACCTTTCTCCCGAACGGCTGTGTTATCATTCCTCCCTCTGTCCTTGTAAGTATATGCTAATTGTCCTTTATGTCTCTCTAATGTGTTTTTGTTCATAGTTCTTGCAGTTTATGCTGTAAACCCTAGAGTACTCCATTTTATTCACTTCTTCATGTTCTGTGGGCAAGCTGGTGAAGAGGGTTGCTCTTTCCTTCAGGATTGTATGGATGTTCCATTTCCTTAGTATTGGCCGTAGTTTCTAAGCCATTTCGTACGAGGGTAGCCATATCCTGTTTTTCCTCTTCTCCTCTAACATACCTTTCATAACCTCCGCCCTTCCATCTATTCATCACCATCCGCATGCTGCGTTTTATTGTTTCTTCTGGATATACGTTTCCAAGAAGGATATGAGTTAGTTTTCCTAGTTCGCCTTCCCAGAACTCAGAATCAGTCAGTCATAAGCTTCTAATGACCATACTCCGCAGTATTCCAATCTTCATCAAAAAAATACTTTTCGACTCGAAGTTAAAAGTTATTCCAGCATGCGATTTCTTTCGGAAAAGTATTTTCTTGAGAGTTTTCTCGGAGCGAATGATCTCCACATCCAAGTACACAATGTTCGTTCTCTTCCGCATCCATGATAATTTTGATTTTTTTCATACATTTCGTTTATGAAGATCAGGAAATCGTCTAATTTTTCTCTTCCAGGCGGCCAGATTACGATGTAGTCATCCAAATATCGCATACTTACTATTGGCTGCTTGAATGTCATTTTGAATTTCTCCTCCAACTTGTCCATGAAGACATTAGCCAACGGAGGCGGGCCCATAGACTACCCATTTGCTCTGTCTCCAGATTGCCATTTTATTTTTCAAAAAACCTCTAGTAGTGGAGTGAGTGCTTCATCTCCTGTGATGTTAGTGTACATGGGCTGTATATCAAAGATCACCAAAAGTTCGTTTCCTTCCAAACTGGCGCCTTTAATTCTTTGGTTCTTCACTGTATTCGATAATCTGTCATTGAATTTCTTTAATGAGGCAGTTACATTTCGCCAATTTACGTGTCGATACATGTTTGCGGTTGTTTATCAATTTCACTGGCTCTCCTTCTTTCTGTTATTTCGGAAAACTGTAGCTTCTGGGGCTCTTGTATCCTTTCATATGAGTGAGTACATTGTCCAGTTGTCGATTTCCCCCTTCCTATTAATTTCCTTCTTTATTTCTTGTAGTTACCCTTTGATTTTTACCGTCAGGTCTTTTGTTAGTAGTCGATACGTTGTATTGTCTCCGATAATATTTTCCATTTTTTCTGTATATTCCTTCCAGACGATCACGACTGTGACATCTCCTTTGTCGGCTTGTAGGACTATTTGATCGTTTCTTTTTAATACTTAATATATCTTGGTTATATTGTCAATGTGTGGGTTCCTGAGGCGTCAAAATTGTTGGGATGACTTATATTCCCATCTCACTTGTCGATTTTTCAGTTGGCTTTTCAGAGGTATTTATCACTTCCACTAAAATATCCTTGATTGCCTTCCTTCCATTCAGAAGTGCAAAATTTAACCTATTCTGGAGGAATGTTGTGGTTTCCAAAAGCTATTCTCAGTCAAGGTGGACTGCAGTTTCCATCTCGCTTAGGTCTTATCAATATCCCCATCAGGACTTGAGTCATGACAGTTCCATTATCACAATGCCTAGGTATGGGCATCATCGACTTTAATTCCTTGAATTTAACGTAAACGGGGGCGAGAATTGAAAGCTGGTACGCACCAGATTTTGGTCAGCTGGACCGTAATCTTAATCTGTAGCAGGGACCAATTGACTATCGGTTCGTTGAAATTTACTCAAGAGTGCTGCAATTGGCATCTGAAACCCATGGTGCTTCCCTAGATCCACTTTATTAGGCAATATTCGAGGACACCAGAGCATAGAATGGTGTGAATAGGCATATGAGTCTTTTGAAGTGATGTTGAGAGGAGATGCAGTACTAGAGGCAAGTTCAAACATTGGAGCGAGGAATAATGTCACTACAGTTGAACAGAAAATGAGTCAAAGGGATTTCCTTCACATGCCACTTTTCTAGGTTATGACTATGTACTAACCATGGCGCCTCTTACTCTTAATACTAGATAATCGCCTTGGAACGTACAAAGTCAACGGTCCGATGCTTGAAATCATCTATATTACTATGGTAAATGACGTAGGACTTTGTACGTTCCACAAGGTATCTTTGCACGATCAACACTACAGCTTAAGAAGACTGCCACCAGACGGAAGGCCACACTATCTTGTTATTCATATCTACATCAAATGGCATTTCCCCCGTTATCCATAATCATAATTCTTCTTTCTGCAATTAGACTAACTTTGTAACTAAGTAATATTTTACTTCAATTAACGGGCCATCCTTCATTATAATTTTCTTGAACTTATGCACCCTTTTCATTATCACTATTAGTTACGGCTTCAGAGGTTTCAATTATGCAAATTATTCTTATTCTTTCCCACAGCTTCGATCTCTAGATTCATGCCCCTCAGTTCGTTGTACTATGATAACTGCCATGAAGTATCTGATTATTTGGGCAGATTCTGGCAATAGTAATTCATTGGGAGCTGGAGTTGGCTCAATCGAGTCTGATTTTGCCACCACAAGTAGCAGCCAAACTAGCAAACCTATCCTTACACAAAACAACAGCCCATTGGCAACATATGGTCGCTTGGTGGCCCCTAACCCTGAAGGTCATATGGAAATACTTGGTATGCTTTAACTTTTTTCTACATTACTTTTAAATTACTACAGCGATATTCTTAATATAGACAATGCTTGAACCTTTATCAACTAAACCATGGAAAAATAGAAGTAGACATTCACTCATTAATTTGCTAGGCTCTACTAGATTCTAGGTGCTTTGTTCCATGACAATCCTTTTGTGGTGTAAAATTCAAGTGGATTTACTTGGCTTAAAAATTTACAAAATGGAAACTTCGTGATTTCGCGGACAAATTTTCTAAAATTTATTACATAAAGCTTTTTTATCTTTTAAAATTTGGCACTTGTCTTTCTATAGTTCAATTTTTTATTTCTTTACTTTCTAGTCACAAAGTTCAATCGTGTTTATTGATATTATTTCCTGTCAATATTTCTACTGTATCCATTGCTATGGCTTGCAATTTTTGTTTTACTCAATATCCTATTATTAGTCTATTGTAATATATCGGACCGTTAAATAGTTAAATTTATAAAATTTAGTTCCTCACGTGCCAGGCTTGGCACCAAATTACTTCTTGTTAGGCTAGCAAGTGAAGTCCGTTTCATAAAAGATATTTTTACAATCATGATACTTCTCCCATTATATTCATGTGCTATCCTTTCTCGCATCATAAAGCCAAGATTCAACCCTCAACTACAAGTTTATTCTGATAAATAATTGGTATTCGTCTACTTTGGTAGGCTTGTTAAAGAAAAGTTGTATTCACATATGAATAAAACATTGACATTGTATAACAAGTTAATTTGATACATATTAATTAGTTTTTTACGTCTTCTATAAAATAGTTGAAGTCGATCTGAACACACCTGAGTATCTTCTTCCCTGAGATTTAAATACTCTAAAGACCTGGGAAGCAATGCAAATCATGCATTAAAGGAATTTATTTAATGAAATAAATAAGTAAAGCCTTACTTACTGCTTGAGTAAGTTCAGAGAACTCAGAAATCAAATTTATCAATTCATAGAACATGTCTGAGTCGTATATGCTGTTTTTTATCACAGGAGGGCAGCATGAGTTGAACGAATTTGAGGTAAAACGCTTTATAAATCAATCTGGTCGAATTATTGACCTTAGCTTATGAACTAGGACCACATTTGATTCAATTGACTTAAATACGAAACGATACAATAATTACAGGAAATCATCCCCTCAAAAGTTTTTTCTCTTAGACTCAGGTCAATTGGCTACAGGAATATTGTAAATTTACTCTAAAAACTCAAAATAAAGATGTTACGGATTAGGCAGCGAATGATTACTATATACGTGTTTACTATTGAATTGGTCTATTGCTTTACTGTCAAGTGATTTAGATTAAGCTTTTCGCTAAATCCAATATCGAGTTGCAACTTAAAACCACATGGTTTTTAGGGCTTAAAGACAGGAAAATGGATACCTTAACAGGAAGGAATTAAAAACATAGGGTATTTTAGGAGCAGCTGTTACATTTGCATTATGAGATAGATGAGGAAAAAAACTAGAGGATATAGCCGTAAATATTAGCTGCTATTGAGCATTTACCAAGTGAGCCGTTAAAATATTGTTCTCTAGTAAGAAATTGCTAACAGATTGATCATTGAGTCGGCATAATTCATTCTATCCGGATTGATCAATGGAATATATGAATTGAGTAAGCGGATCTAGACAGATAAGAGCTAAATGAATGGTTAATAGGAAATAAAATCTTTTGACTTCAAGGACATTTGCTAATGACTTCATATTGCACTTTTTGGAATGGTCCGTGCTCTCTTTGCTGAGTATCATACCGAAGCGTATAAAATTTTCTATGACTTGAATAAGAGATAGCAGTGTTGCTGCTTATCTGCCTTTTCCTTCTATCTTTGACGACTCAACCAAGTTTCGAGAACATGATCTTCCCAATTCTATATGGCAAAAGGAACTGCAACTAAAAGAGAAGTCACACCATTCTTTCTTCATATTTGCGATTATATTTCTTACTAAAATTCAACCTGAGATGAAACTCTCCGTTTGATCTATAACTTGCAAAACTTGGTAGGCTCTAGGAAAATCAATCTTGTTTTTTATGGTCAAAATCCTAATTTAAAATTCTAAAATATCCTAAAATTGCCTCGATCCAAGTTTCTATATAAAATTGTAATAATTCTTCTAAAGGGTTTGAGTCACAGGCACTAGAATATTTTGTGTCTGGAAAAGAAGATCGGGTACAAATTTTTTGAGAATTTTTAATTTTACTATACAACCGCTGACCGTATGCTTATTATTATTTTCCTTAACCTACACGGGAAAAAGCAGAATTCACTCAGATATTATCGTCAGAAGGCGGAAAGCTAGACCACTTACCACTTCATTGTTTGAATAAAATGAACAAATATTTGCGCTTTATTCGTTACATTATGGCAAAGGATTTTTTAATTATAAGCAGGCTAGCATTGCTTTATGAGTTCTTATTGTAATACAATTTGCATTTAAGGGAGTGTTGTCACTAAAGGAAATTTTTTTAAAGTTTTCTTTAAGCTTATATTCATTTTTGTGGGTTTTCAGCATAAGCGAACATTTAGCGGCCGGGGATATACACTTAAATGTCAAGCCTTCCTGTCTTGCCGTAAATGATCACTCACATGATTGCTAGTTTCAAGTGACTCGTTGACGTAAAATTGGACGAGCTTAGTGGTACACTCTTTTAAATATTCATGTTTACTGGTAGTAGGTGGATCTGCAGTCGAGGCGTCTTTTTATTATGCTTAAAATTTGCCTACTTACAGCCATTGTTTATATATTGAAATTCTTTTTATTATATTTATTAGTTTATTCTTGTTATTCATTTAATAAAGAGGCCATTTCATTGTATTCCTTCCTAAACAACATTTTTAGATTTTTTTTAGCATTTTACTTGTTTATTCCTTTTGACTTTCTTGGTAAATAAATCTAGGCTAATTTTTTAACCGTACCTTCTCGTCAGGCCTCGAAAACTTGGCTCCTCTGCCATTTCAATCCAACGAGTCCTGTGTCGGACCTGAAAGTTCCAGCTCCTCCATATCCTTTGTATCCACAGGCCTCTCAGTCGAATTGGCCAATGTTCTAACTAACTCTGGCTCATCTGTTAGCCATTGTGATCAATTCTCCAAATTTGCTTACGACTGTCCACTAGCTACTTGTCTTACTCGGCTAGCTGACTCTGATCCGGGCGTTCAGCGTGCTGCTTTGGTTGCATTGAACACAGCTGCGCATCATATTCCTGCAAGATTGGCACCATTGCTGACAATGTCCATCCCTACCATTTGCACATCTGGTGATCTGACCACGGGTGATTTTACGTCGTCTTTTTAACTTATCTAGATCGTTGAAAATCTATTTTTGTTTTTATATTTGAAATAAGGCTTGTTTTTCCAGGTAACGGGAACTATTAAGTTTTTTGCTAGTATCTATTACTAATCATTATATTTCTATGAGTTTTGAAAACCTACTCAAAACGAATTATATTTTTAGTATACCTTATCCTTGCATCAATTTGAGAATTACGTTTTTGCTCATGATATCTTTTAGATAACCACCAGATTCACCTACTATTTATCCTATGGCTTAAAATTTATTGCTAGCAACATGATTCATAATGAAATGAAGAGGCCCGTTGTACTGCACCTCTAAAATGATTACTTAATCGGAATGGACAGCATTTTAGCAGTAAAACCTTATTGGCACTCTTCACTTTACTTACATCGTTAGTTTATGATACGAGACACTTCAGCCTTTCGGCCTTATTACGCTAATGGTGTTGAGATGTTGAGCAAGCGTAGTTAATCTAAAGTTAGAATATCATTTTTTTGTAATACCATCTCATATTCTGACTTGGAAACAAGTTTTCCTTGTTTGTCTTTTTTTGTAATTGATAAAATCTGCTATTATTATTTGCGTTCATTTCCCATTTCAGTTTATTCTCTCACCAGATTTATGACTTGATGTAATTGGGTACACATTCATCCTTCGTTTTCGTTATAAAAGTTTCGAACCTCCTCGGGTACATTATCATTTCAACTAGTCATATCCTCTTAAAGTATACCCTGCTGATTATCCTCCATATTTTTCTCTACTACCGACACTTCAAATATATATACTTTGCTGATATTTTTATGGAAGTGAATTAACTTTTTTTAATTCAATGATTTAATTTGAACTTTTTTAAATATCTATCAAAGACTCTTCAGAATCGATTTCTTTATGCACTCTGCTCTTCCGTGAAACTGCTGTTCGACAAGAACTCATTCGCAAAGTGGAAATGGGGCCATTTAAACTGCAAGTCGATGACGGCCTTGACATGCGAAAGGTAATTTTAACGGGATCAATTTTTAAGATTTTTTTATCTTGTGACACTAAATCTAAAGAGAAAAATCTCACTACAGTCTTATTCTTATTTCATTAATAAATTTCTACCTAAACAAATCTTCTATTCGGAACTCCAAAAATACTTCTTCAAACTGCTCTTCTTTATTATCTGCAGGCTTTCATCTTTTAGTCCTCTTGTAATTTATAGGTTTTGTGCAATTAACTTATATTAATTGTGTAAACTATATGTAAATCTAGCTAAGCAGACCAAGATGATGTGGCCTCTATTTTGGTCGCAGTCTCCTTTCGATGTATTGATGTTGTCTGACCTCGTTTTCACAACTCAGTCATGCTGTCAGGGTGGCTCAGACGCACCTTTTCCTAAGTCCTGCGCTTTAGTATTTATCATTCCCAGAGTCGGACCGTTGATTTAGTACACTCTCAGACGTTTCGCCTGCATCGAAGTCGGCATCATTAGTGATTCTTGCCATTTTCAGCACTAAGCCAAAACTCTTCAGACAGTTGAAATCAATCTCTTGACCAAACTTACCAAACTGGAAGGTTCTGAAATATATCGAAGACATTCTCAGTGAATGTAGTCTGCTCGAAGATAATCACAACCGTCACAAAAATTTGGCCATATAGCCAAACTGACTAAAAATCCACTCGATAGGTATCGGGTGAACATAGATAGAAATCCACAGTTTGCTCAAAGTATACGGTTTTAATTAATCCGATGATTCGTGACGGCAACGCCTAATATCTGTAAGTATGGGAATCAGAACCTAGGCGGCATTTCACATGCTATTGGGGACTTGAGAAATAAAGCCTGGAGTGAAAAATCTACTGGGGCTGGAACTTGATGAATTTGGTTAACCAGAAAGTTAAGAAATGGATATACTAGCCCATAAAGAGGACCAAGTCGGATCAGCAGGAGGGACAAGGCAAATAACAGGTATGATAACGCCACGATAAATTCACCGGAAAGACATCTCTTGCTGAGTGGATTATAAACAAGCCAGAAGTTGTGATAGGGCAAAGTGGGATAAAACTGTAGGGCGTAGAAGGGCTATGACAGAAAGTGGAGTGATCGAATAGTCGTTTCGGCAGAAAGTTAGTCAAGGGATTGACTTCACTTGTCTCTTTAACTAGTTGTAACTTGATACTGAGACTGGCAAGATTCATTGGCAATGTCGATTAATATGCTGGTGGAGCGTTTGACACTGTTTTAAGTCTACTATTTGACTCTTGGAATGGTGATAAATGCTAACTAAGTAGCCCTGACAACTCCACCAAGTTGCGAAAACGAGGTCAGACCACATCTATATTTTAATCTGCCTACTGATGTCAAGCGTTTGGGGAATATATTTTTAGGTAAATGAAAAATTCCTTGTGCTAAGCTATTATTGAATCGTATTTAAATCTGGATGTCCATCACTATTTGACTAGTCTCGTCGAAACTGTTAATGTTTTCAAAAATAAATTAATAAAAGATTGAACATTGAAAATTAATCTCATTTATTTGGGATTGTAGTTTCCACTTCCGCCACCTTTTAGAAGGCGATTTTACCAATGAAAAAGTTTCTCAATTATGTTCATTGCCTTATAGGCTTTCTTTTTCTTTCTTGCTAGATTGTAACCTAGTATAATCTGAATCTGTAGTAGCTATTTCTTTAGGGTGAATGTTCATTTTAAGGTAAG